GCAGTCTGGTTGGCTTTTCCGATTCGGTCGTCGGCCACACTTACTATCTTCGTCACATGTTTCGACCCCCATTTTTGTACATACGCGTAAGTGCACTTAAGTGTATATATATGTACTACATCATTTCTTTGCCATCTTTGATTTACGGGCTGTGCGAGGGGATAAGAAGGAAGCGCAGGTTTTATATATGTATGTATACGAAACGGATGTGCAGACAACGCTAAGGCCTCTGAAAACACATTGCCAATAATTTAAACGTAATTTTTTCACTATATTATGATTTTGCCTGGAATTTCTGTTTAGGTTGAGAGCTGTAGGTAGTAAATTAGTAGCAGCTTCTCTTTTTTCTTAGAGGCAAATAAAAAAAATTATAAGTTGCCGGTATCCTTTCCAAAGATTTGTAAATTTTTCTCCCTTAATGAATGAATTCTTCAGATTTTACCCTCTTTCTTCTTGTTTCTCTCACGCTCGTCCATGTCAATGGTAGCTTAGAGTTTTATTGAAAAATGTACCTAGAAGAGGACCTCTGTAACGATAAGTATTTGTTTAGAGACGGGTGATCCAAGCAGAGGTACTTTTTTCAACAGCCTTTTTTGGTAGATCACGCTTGAGTCGTATTAAACTGCCATGGTATTTTTGTTCAGTATTGTTCGGCATCTTATCATAACAAGACAAGGTTTACAAATCGCTCAACTTTTTAATGGAAATTCACGTTCTCTGAAGAATGTGTTTCGCGCGCTTCGCTTAATTTATACTCCACATAATCGGCCTACTGAGCGTACTATACGCAATACCCTCACCCATCTTGAGACTTAACATTCATCATTGGATAATATTCGACCGAATAGACCACGACCAGCACGCAGGGAACAGAATATCGCGACAGTTGCAGAGATTGTACACAAAGACCGATTCGGCTCGGTTCACAGCAACCCTGGACTCTTGAAAAGTTCCAAGAAGACCTGAGGTTTTCGAGCCATATTTTGTTCAGCGAAGAGACCAATTTCCGTCTCCATGGGTATGTAAACAAGTAAACTTGCCGCATTTGAGACGAAGAGCAGGCTGAAGAGATTAAAAACTGACATTTCATTCAGAAAAAACAACGTTTTGGTGTGATTTATGGGCCGGTGGAATCAGCGATTCAAATTTCTTCAAATGTGATGCCTCTGAGAACGTAATTGTTATCACGCTATGCCGAACGACTATTTAGCCTGGTCTCGGCTATTTCCCTCACATCGCATCAATCAATGGATTTAATGAGAGAACACTTCGGTGAGCAGAGAATTTCACATTAAGAGCTGGCCGATTGGCCATCAAGATCGTGTCATATCACATGGTTAGACTTTTTCCTGTGGGAACATGTAAAGTCTAAAGTCTATGCTGACAATACCGCTTCGATTCAGGGCTTGAAGCAAATTATACGCGTACTATTCACCAGTTACCATTCGAAATATACGAACGAAAATTGAACACAATGGATGGATCATCTGAGACGTAGCCGTGACCAGCATTTGAAAGAGATATTTATCCCACCGCTGACAAATTTTGATACCAAGAAATTTTTTTCTACTTCCATCTCTGGCTTTAAGTCTATATTACAAAAATTGAAGACTTTCGCGACAATCGAGTCTTTACGCCGAAATTGACAAGATTTTGAACCGACTGCCGAAAGGACTGTGGATACAGCCTCAATCCCAAGATCGATTTGTGGAGTATGTTTGTGGTTAGAACAGCAAAAGGCGCCAGTTCTCTCTTGGCGGACTAGACAAGGCGTTCGTTTATCTCGAGTCAGTGACTCAGAGGCAGAAAAACCATTTAAGAACAGTTGTAACTGTAGCGAAAGGAAGACAGGAGCGTCAAACCAAAAATACAGCTATTCAGCTATTTTAAAACAAATGGCGATGTCGCTCTTATTATTTAGCAGTTATAAGGTGTTTGAAAGTATCCTTTTACAAAGAAAATGCTTGTTCTCTCGGCAGTCTAAAGTTTAATCAAGTTTATACAAGTTTCGGCCACAATATTCTCGCATATCCGAGAGTCCAGCAAAGACCAACTTTTACCTTCGGTCTTGAAGAGCCAGGTAGCCAAGTAGATCATAAAAATCTTTTATTTTTACTCATCTTTATATAGCCAAAAAGTACACAAGAGTGCTCACTCATTCATCTCTCCGCCATTTTCTCTGGCTACGTTTTGCCACTTAACATCTGGTTTCGACCAAAATTTAATACTTTTTTTACTTTTCAGCCTTGATTATTAACTTTTTGTTTACTCTTTCATTTCCCATTGTTGTTTTCTCTTACACGTACACTAATTCATCTTCTACTTTCTGCATTCTTCTTCTACATTTTTGCACACACATTTCTTTCAACACACTTTTACTGGTTTCGTTTATTTTCATTTTTTTTTTTACGGCCCATCATTTTTCTCGTTTTTGCTCCAAAAAACCTGTTCGCCTCTAATTGTAAGATCATCAGCGTTATTTAAGCTGCAGCACATGCACACACATATATGTATATTTATATATATATATTTATATATATATATTTATATTTATTTTTATTTATTTTATTTTTTCTTTTTTTTGTTCGCTTTTCGCCATACGCAGACAGATACTTTGCAGCTTTCTGTTATGTACATACATATGTACATATAAGTAGGTCCGGCAAGATGTGTGTACGAGTATATACTTGGTATCTCGGCATTTGGTTGATCTCAACTACTGCTCGCTTTGATTTATCATCCCTCCGCAGTTACAGATGCTTGACTTGTCGAAGTAAGTGATCGCGAAAAAGTTCATATATGTATATATGTATGTATGTATGTGTGTACATACATTAAGGCTCGTTTTTTGTGTCTTCCTGTTGTCGTTAAATTTGTTTTTTTTTTTTTTTTTTGTTTCTTAGCTTTCTGCACAGACTTCCATCGTGTCTTCTACATCTTAACCAGCGCAGCCGCCGTATTCCTCTTCTCCTTTATGTTCGACTGAGTCGATTGGCTTTAGCTAATTTTCTCCTTTAAATAAGATAATCAACAACAAATACAACTTTTCTTCATGTTCTTTGCTTTTCTCCCTATTTTCATCCATATCAGCGATACGTTTTGCGTCACTTTCAACTTGGATTTGCCCCCTAATTCACCTCGTTCAACCGTTCGCCCGTTGCATTCATCATCGCGGTCGTCGTCGTCGCTGGTTTTATAGTGGAAGGCCGTTTATTGTTTGTTTACTTATATTTGTTTTGTTTTTGTCTCGGTGATTTATTTTCATGATTTTTTATTTTAGTTATTGTACTTTTCAAAGCATGTGGTTTTCTACAATTTTTTCACACTACCGGCTTTTTAACGTCATTCTTACCTGTTTTCTTCTCTTCGTGTGTTTTTTGCTTGATTGGCAGCGAAAGATATCGCGAATGTATGGAAAGGAAAATGTGTTTGAGATTAAGTGAACGTCTACTTTCGTAGGTAGCCACGTTTTAAGGGCAATTTTGAGAACCGTCTTGTTTTTTTTTTCTTCAGTACAATAGTTTCACAAAAAATTTTATTTCCGGGATTTCAGATTTTTAAAATTTATTTAAAACTGACAAAAGTCAATGGAAATAGGCCTGACCTGGCAAAAGGGTGACAGCCCTTGACCGGATACAATTCGGGTCAACTCTGGCGCAGAGAAATGTCGTCAGCTGGCAGAATTAAGATCTGTATATTGCAGCCGAAGAAACTCTTACCCATCCAGACTAGACCCCGACTTACCTAATGCAAGTCCTGCAGGCAATGAGTCCCTGCCCACTTCGCATACCCCCAAATACCAACTCAATAAACCCATTTTTCTGGTTGCATCCCCCCGATACAGCTCCTCTCCTGGACCTCCTGATAAATGAGCTCAATGACTAATCGTGCCTGCTCCTAAGCAGGGCTAGTAAACCGCTACAACAACAACAGCAGCAAAACTAGATTCGTCTGCTTCCAAGCGTGGTTACCCAATCACTTTTATAAAATTAGCCTAAGAACCTAAGAATAACAGAGACAGAAGTAGGGAAACCATCGAGTCCGAGTTTGGCCAACATCCAAAATTATAGGATACTAATTTTTCTCCTCCTCATAAAAATCCAACGGCCGTTCAGGGGCCGTTGATCAGGACTTACAATTCGCCAAAACGTGGAAAAATCCAAGAGCTTTATCAAAATTTGAAAGTTCTAAGAGCCCATACACATAGTGCCACGAATGAAGAGACAGCGGATATGCTGCATGGATCATGACATTCGAAAATATGGAAACACTTCTGCTTTGAAAGCGTACACTAGCCTGTGGAAAGAGAATAAGAAGAAGAGCACTACACTGTTGAAAAGGTCAGGCCTATTTTCACTTTTTATTTGGTGCCTATACCAAGGAAAAATAAGAGGGAGGGAGTAGCAGATTTCTGCGCTTTCGTCAGAAAGAAAAAACTGAAATCGAGGAAGAAAATGTTTTTTTTCGCACCCTTGGGAAACTATTGTTCGGAACGACGGGCAAGTTGCGAAATCTATTGCACTGAATGCCGAATATGTCTTAGGAGTTAATCATATATTAAAAAAAGTTAAGTTACTTCAGTCCATAATTAAAAAAAAAAGCCATCATCCAATTTTCAAAATTATGAGTTCTGTTAATTTTTAAAAACCATATTTTCATATTGAAAAAAAAAATTTTACAAAAATTATGAGTTCTGTTAATTTTTAAAAACCATATTTTCATATTGAAAATAAAATTTGACAAAAATTTCCAAAGGTCAGAAATTAAGCCTTGAACGAATTTCCTGCCTAAAATCTAATCATGAATTTAGATTAACCATAACCTCGTTCAAATTGCACAATTTCATAATTTATGAAAGGGAGCACCGCAATTAAGCATACTGAAATAATCCTTCGCATAATACGGATGCACTTTTTGTGCCCACAACTGTATGTCAAGGTAAAAATCACTTTCTTCTCAAAAGAAAACAGGTAGATAAAAAGATAGGCGAGAGTACTTACGGATTGGTCTTCAACGCACTCGTTGTCACTTTCAGTTGATGGAGACTTCTTTGAGCGTTGATAATAGTAGTTGCGGTTGTTGTTGTTGTGTTTAAACCTTGTCTTATGTTTTTTTTTTGGTTTATCGGTTCGCTGAAGTTTTCGGCCGGTGGCCGGAATTTCAATGCATATAAAAATATTTCTATTTATTTTGCTTTTAACTCGTTCACACGCGCTCTGTGTTCTCTATCTCACTCTCTCTCTCTCTCTCTGCTGACTTTCTGCGTATTTGGGATTACTACTTGCGCGTTTTAACGTAATTTATTTTAATTGTACATTTTGAATAAATATTAACTTTTTTTAAACACTTTATTACACTTTTCACTTTTTTTTTATTTAATTTTTTTTTTTTTTGTAGCACAAACTAACAGCACTCCTACACACTTATTTTTTGTGGTTTTGTGTGTACTTTTGTTGTTTTTTTTGCGTTTATTTAAATTTTACAACTTATTGTGTTGTTACTGCACACTGTTGCTTCACTGTGCTGCTTCAGCTGGACGTCGCTGGAACAGTACCAAAACAGATGTGTTACGAAATTTGGGGGTTTCCAAAAAAAAATTTATTTTTTTGGTTTTCTTTCTGCAAATTTGAACGAAGCGCGTAAGTGTTTTTTTTTGTTGTTTTTTGTAATATTTAAATATTTTTCAATAGCAATTTAATGGCTTTTTTTTTTGAGTCTTTTAGACGCGACGTTTGCGCGTTGAATTTTTTTATTTTAATTAAAATAATTATTTTCTGGTTCACTTTTGATGAGCACTCTTTTTGAAATTTCAATTTTCTTTTGTATTTTCCAAATAATGCAACTCCTAAAAACACAATACACACTCTTTTAGACTTTATTTCAGGCGAAAACGAAAGAAAGATGCAGATAATTCGACGTTGTGGCTTGGACAGTCCATGTGCGAAGAGTTTCGCATTTACTCGTCTCGTATCCTAGATTTTTATATACCATTAATTAAAACTATTCAATGCTATTTCTATTTTCTGCACATCACAATGTTCGAACACAATATCGCGCTGAACCGACTTCACCACACAATTGATAACTCAGAAGACACAGCTAAAGATATAAAAGACGCACACACTACCGCGAAGAAAGTAAAAGAAGATAAGGCATATGTATATATGTAGGTACGTACGCAGTAAAAAGTAAAAAAAAAAACACGTTTCGCTCCCGACTATTTAAAAGACTGACATTATAACGCAGTGCATATGTAAATAGCGGACGACTGGGCAGCACAGCAACGGACGATCGACTGACCGCGCGCATACACGGTATTTTGATTGTCGCTGCCTGTCTTGATTACACGATCGTCTTCTTACTGCTGCGCCCTGAGTTGCCTGCCTGCTTGCCTGCTTGCCTGCTTACGTGCCTACCTCACAGGCTGTATAGCGCGCTGGCAAAGTAAAGTGTATCTCAACATTGCAGAGTACATTTGCGCATATACCACACACATATGTACATACAGACACACAGAAATTTAAGTTTCTCTACGTATGTATATATGTACATAAATGTAAAATACTACTTGCTGTTTTTTGAAGTAGAAAGGAAACAACGTATTCACCATCCACAGTAAGTCAGTCAACCAAACCCAGTCGCGACTACACGTAAGCTGTGCTGGAGCTGTGTAACTGAGTAATCAGTTAAACGGACGTAAAGTATGTAATGGATTAGTGAAGTTATGTGCTAAGCAAAAGTGGAGCGCGCGGCATAAGCTGGGTGGATCGAACCGGCTTGGCTAGCTAACTGGCTGAGTGACTGGTTGGCGAGCTGTTTAAAAATTGGAAATCACATTGGTTCCGTAAAGCGAAATCTCAATTACGCCGTTAGTGACAATGCCAGTTACAAACAGACTTACATATCCACCAATATACACATGTGTGTATGCCGTAATGCCTACATAGCAGCTATAAGCTCTTGCAGACGTAACGTCATCAAATTCATAATGACTCGCTGGTGATTTTCAACGTAAATTGAATTTCGCGGCGTTGCAAAAACCGCAAAAGCGGGAAACACCAGCGCGGCAAGAATACACGAGATGTGCGCTGCGACCGCAAAAGTATTGTAATTTCAAAATGTGGTTTTGCTTAGTAGTAATCTGAATCAATACTATTAGTAAAACATTTCGCTGCGTCCCGAAAGAAGCATGTAATTTGGCGCGGAAAAGTCGAGCGTGTTGTGCTGCGTCGAGATTTGCATGACACCTAATGATGACCGGTACGTGGATCCTCTTCAAAAATAAATTAAAAACTTTAATGTCTTTTGAGACCTTCCAGGTCTTGTCAAATTGTTAAGTTTTGGAGCTGTTTCCACTTCTCCTTTTTTTCCACCGAAAACCACTAACGGACGCAACACTTCTTCCTAAATACCAGTTTGTTCAACTCAATAACAATTATTATTTCAAATACAGTCTGATGTTCTACGCATTTCTGTCAAGCAAAATAAAACTCATTTCTATGAGATTCTGCTCAGTTCCGTTTCTTTCGGGCATATTTCAAAGCAACATCCCGGGAGGTACCTACATTCAGAGGTCTAGCGAAATTATTCCAACAATCGCACTGTCACCTCTCCTCTGTCATTTTGACGCGTAAATATTTCACGTTTACGCCATGCTGAGAAAAGAAAAGATGTTTCAAATCTTGTCGATACGTCGCATGTTCTAGGTAACCCACTGATCACGTTCGTCAGCAGCCAAATTTACTCAGAGCGCCATACACTGTTTGTATGTATATGTAGCATAACATTTGCGAAACAAATTTTAAAAATATTTTTTTTTCTTTTTTTGTAATTCTAAATTTGTATGTGGTTAGGTGATCTCGCGTTGAACGCGCAATTTGCTTGCCTGCTTGCCCTGCTTCAGAGTCGAAGAACTCATAGCTGCCTGGCAGAGATCGCAGCATAGTTCGAGATACAAATAAAAAAAAAAAAATAAAATAATAATAAACACCCGAGCAGAAGTTTAATTATTGTTTAACACTTTAAAAGAAGAATTAAAAAAAAAAATATTTTTTCTACTTTTGATTAATTTTGTTTAATTCGTTTTCGTTAAATTTTTTTCAGTCCGCCCGCCAATTGTACGCTTTTTGTTAATGTTTTCCTTCTGGGTGATTTTTTTTTCTCATTTATTTATTCACTGATATTTCATTTTCACTATTGTGTGCGTGCCTTCTTTTTTCACTTCTCGCCTTTCGCGCATATTTTATTTATTGTAGCTTTTTATGCTTTTTGCTCACACAACGCGCTCACAAACATTCAAACACGCATTGAAGACAAAAATGTATTCTTTCGAATTCCTTCTCTTTCTTTCGTTATTCCAATTCTATTACGTGTTTTTATAAAATTTTTCTGTTTCTATTGGTTCTCCTTTTTTACGTTCACGGTCTTCACGACTTGAAATTGCAAATTATTTAGAGGTTTCCGCAATTATGCTCACTTTGTATTCTTTTATTTTCATTTTTATATATTTATTTAATTTTATTTTTATTTTTATTTTTACATTAGACCTCCGTTGGGGCCATCAACAGTCACTCAAACTGAGCCAGCGACAGTCAGTCAGTCACTTAATCCGATTGCTACTTTATTGAAATCACTTTCGTCATCGCACTCGTTGACTTCATGGCACACACAAATATATTCGTATTTAGTACGTAGTCGTTTTGTGATCATAAGTAACGAGTGGTAATTGAAGTAAGTAATGAATATACTAAATATCACTCACAAATTTGCTAACGCAGCGAACGACCTCGTGGCTTCTTACCGAAGAAACTCTAGTACAGACCCTACTTGCTTTCTAGTTGGATGCGAACAGACAACTGACTCGCAGAGCGGATCCCAAAAGCGCCACAGTCTGCTACGCCTCAGCAACAGCAGTAGCAGCAGCAGCAGCAGCAGTAGCAAAGCACAAAAAAACCAAAGCAATCACTACTACGACGACGACGACGAAGACGACGATTCATTTTTACTACAATACACTAGCGAATACGATGATGATGCCGTGGCCGCCAACAAAGTGTTCGCAACGCTCGTCATGTGGATGGCGAATCGACGTCGTTTCGTATCAACGTCGTAAGCTACATCGGCAAACGCCATATGGGGCGAAATTAATAGCTGTTGGTTTGTTTGTGCGTATACAAGCTATTCAGGCTCCACCAGCTCGCCATGATAACTGGTAGCTGAGTGTGTTTCGGTGGTTGCAAAAACCGAATGCATGCGAAACAGCAACAACAATAATAATAATAATAACAACAATAAGTATAGGGAGCAGCAAAAAATCGCCACCACCAGCTAACAAGGCAAGAATGACAAAAGCAAACAGTGACGATGACGTCGGCAACATCAGCTAATCGACGCAAACAGCGACAGTGTCGTCCCCAATATTAGTTGGTCCCACACAGTCGATTTGGCAGTGGCGTAGCGGCCGACCGATACGCTGACATACATTCCAAATGTGTTCATTCTTTCTTGCTGCCGTGGGCGCAAAAGCTGCTGGCAGTATTGCTGCCGTAGTGGGCGCTAATGTTTGTGTTCATTTTTGTATGCTCTCCAACAAACAGTGAAGCCGCACTCGCTCTTATTCATTTACTTTTGGGCTTGTAGTGAGCGATTGGCGTTCTGCTAATCGCGCGCGTTTTATATTCAATAGGCACAGTGGGTTGCAGGTGCGCAAAAGTGGTTGGAACAAATGAAGTATTCCACCTGTATATCTGGCTTCACTTGTCTTCACTCAATATTAAATAAAAAAATTAAGAATATGTGAGCAGAATCATAATTTTCTGCGGTTTTTTCCCGGTTTCTGACTGGAACTAATGTACGAAAATTCTAGAAAATTTAGATGAGAGATTTTTGAGGTTGAGCAACAAACAAAGCTCCGTCGGGATCGGGAAGGCCTCTCCGCGCCGTTCGATGTTAAAGGGGAACTTAAGGAAGTGACATGGACGACTTGGATGGACCTTAAGGAATTAACAAAGGTGAATACCTCAAATGAAGGAGAATGGAACATGAGCTTTACGAGATACTTGGGGAATTAAGAGACAGCCGCGACGCTAGACAGCCCATGTCCTGAAAGTTTCATACGTAGAAACGTCAGATGAGAACCTGGCGTCATTTTGAATTGAATCTTGGCGTGACTAAGTTCAATCACAAGAATAACAGTTTGCAAGAGCCAAGCTATGTTGGCTGCACTCTCTAAGGTGGACTTCAATAATTTAAATGATCCGCCTTACAACCCAGATCTGGTCCCGAGCGATTACAACCTGTTTCCAAAAAGTTAAAAAAGTTTAGGAATGAAATCGAGGGGGCAGTTTAGATGTATTTTGAAGAAAAACAGAAAAATCTGTATGAGGGTATAAATACATAAATTCATGGAAAGATTTGAAAAATGTATTCGCCTTGAAGATGAATGTATTGAAAAGAAAAAATAAATTCTTTTTATTTTTTGTCATTTATTCCGACTCTCTACAACATAAACTAATATTAGTCATCAAGAATAATATTCTCCATTAATCTCCGCAATGCAAAACCTGTCACGTGTTTCCAAATATCGCCATTGTATTTTCGATACGAGCCCATTTTTGAGCGATTGACAAAATGTGCGAGATCCAACGTGAATAAATTTTCATTACAGACAAATTTTCATGAAATTCTGATTGCATGCTGATCCCACTAATGCTTATAGTTGTCTTAATTTCTTGATAGGCCACATGACAATCTTGCAATATCAGTTTCAGCACAGCGTCAATAGTTTCCGGAACAACAACTGATTTTGGACGACCTTCACAAAACTCGTCTTTGAGTGAGTTGCGGCCTCGACTGAATTCATAAGACCATCGAATAAGCACTGGTCCTTCATCGCTAGAAATTAAATTAAGCTCATCGATGCACTGTTACTGAGTTAATCCACCACACTTTTTTGGCAGTGATGAATATTTTAGGTTACTATTATTAACAAAAAATAGCGCTCTTATGTCTAAACGTACTGAGTATATATGTATAACATCAAATATGTTAAACAATGTGATGAAGTTGTCAGTTGGCAAATTCTAAAATATAGAAGGCAACCCTCGTAGTTGCTCCCTATTAAGAAATAAATAATTGATGATTTCAGACTTTACGATTTCGACCTTATTAATTTCGAACTGCCAAAATATTCATCAAATTTATTTTGCCTATTTTTAAATTTCAATTACTTTTTCCGTAATTTTTTTTTTAGTATTTTATTAGTATTTTGTTCATAATATGTTTTTTTACTTGCTCATTCCACCAACATCAATCGATGTATCATCATTTTTTTTTACTTATTAAAATCTATTTTAATTACCACATTCGATTCGCAAACGCTTTCTTTAGAATTTATTTTCATAAAAATTTCTGCGCTCTTTGCTGCCGCCGCCGCCGCTGGTGCTGCTACCGATCAGAAGGTAAAATAGCAGCGAAATGGCGAAAAATAAACGTTTATTATTAACATTTCTATTAGAATTTAATGCGCAAATATTCACGTTCGCTCGTTCGTAGGCAATAACAACAAAAACGAAGTGAATATAATTAAACACTCAAGTTTTGTTTCTATTTCTTTTTTTATTTGATTGCTTTCCTTATATTTTGCTTGCTATGTACGAGTAGCAGCGGCAGCAGCAGCAGCAGCAGCAGCAGCAGCAAACAGGCCGACGAACGAACTCAAAGATATTCGTCGGTGAATTTATAAACGAAATCATGCAAATATATTTATATGTATATGTACATATGTATGTATGTATATTTGAAAAAGGGATACATATAATATATGTATTTTATATATGTATATGTATATATGTATATGTGCATAGAAATTAAGTCAGGCATACTCGTATATATGTATATATATGTATGTACCTTCTTCATATTAAGAAATTACCTACAACTTTTGTATATAAATTATATGCATACTTGTGTGTGTGTGTGTGTGTGTGTGTGTGTATGTCTTTCTGCGGACATTAACAGAGTCAACGGGTTTCAAAAAACAAGAAGAAGAAGAAGAAGACAAAAAGTACAACGAAGAACACTTGGTACAAATACCAAGGCAGATGAAACGAGCCCCCATATTTTGTTGCTGTCTTTCCTTTGATTTTGATTTTCCTTTTTTTATTTCTGCGCAATCGTCGTCCGCTTTCCAACTGCGAAATAAATACATATGTACACACCTATGTATATACATTTGTGTGTGTGTGTACATATGTACATATGTAAATATGTAAGTAAATGACAATAAATTTTCTCACAGTGTACGAGTGCAAACACGCGAAGGTTATTCAGCTCAGAATATTATCGCTATCACTGATGCCTAGACGATGTTTGGGTGTAGAGATACGGTTATTATATGGAGCCCACATGTAGGCACAAATATACATATGTAGATAGGTATTTTCATACAAACATTGCTACACACACATGACAAACACATCTAAATACGTACATATGTACATACTTACATACATACATATATACTCCTCTAGATGACAATAATTAGATTCTTAAATGTGTACAGAAGCTGCGTGCGCACTCAACAGCTTTTTCTTACTCTATACATATATACATATTTATGTACAAATGTACATACATACACATATTCCAGAAGGTCAATATTTCATCGCTTTTGACGTAGCACCGCACATTTCACGTTCACCACAGCAGACACAGTCGCCTTCTCGGTTTCGCTCTCGCTGTCATAGTGGCATAGCGGTATGGAGTACCTAAGAAACCAAAAAAAAAAAAAAAAAAAAAAAAAAAAAAAAAAAAAAAACAAAAAAAAATGGAAAAAAATGGAAAAAGTTTGTATAAATTAATTAATGAAAGATATTTCAAAGACTGGTTTCGCACACTAGTATCCTTATGTGCTATAGGTGATTTTTCGACTACATATGTACAACATAGTGCTTGTTGACATATATACAAACATAGATTCCCCGACGAAATTCAAATAAATTCTAATATTTGCATATTCAGGCGCCTTCCGGCATTTCGAACTGGACACGAAATCTGATCTGATCTATCTAAATATTTGTACCACCTGTTACTAAGCTTGATGACTGATTACTGCTCTCATCAGTAACTCGTAAGCGTTGGTATGATGAGGATTTTTGATCAGCAGTGGAAGGAAATAAGACTGACTCTCTATCTCTCCCTCTCTACGCGGTCGATCGTATTGTACTCTGTATAAGAGAGACCAAGAGTTAAGCACACATGAGAAACATTTGCAGACAGGAAAAACTAAGAGAGCAAAAGCGGACTTTTGGCACCTGATTCGCAAAGCAAACCATCATTATCTGCTGTAATCCGATTCCGCTTTTCAAAATCGCATATAAGGTCTTATCGAGCGTACTTTGAGAAAGACCAAAGACCATCATTGAATCTTATCAATGCGGATTTGAACTTGGTAAATCTACCACGGACTAGATATTCACCATGTGTCAAGTCTTGGTAAGATCCATCGATTTGAAAGCGGCATGAGAAGGTGATTACTTAACGCAAAACCAACAACAATTACAACAACAACGTCAGTATTGAGATCAGACATAAGACTGGCGGAGTATGAAAAAATAAAGTGCTCACGATGAACAAAGGCCAAACAAAAGTCTGCAAGTCGCTCATTAATCACCAACTGCTAAATGCTGTGGGGGCAAGGATGATGATGAAATGTTGTTTTTGGAACGGTTCTCCGACCCCGCTTAAGAGCAAGTGATACCAATCTAAGTAAGCGAGCTGATCTAAAGGTAGGTTCAGGAACCGAGTTGTTTCGGCAGGTCCGGGCCAGCAAAAAATGGGATTAAGTG